CTAACATTTGGGCGCGCTTGAACTCGGCGAGTTGCAGGGAAACTCGACGAGTTAGTAAGGGGTTTTCACGATTACTCGAGTTCTAGAAGGACTCGACGAGTCAGTGCTTACACTCGACGAATCGGGTTAACATGGATTGTTGATCTTGATTGTTGACTTTGACTTTGACCAAGGGTTGACTATTTGACTTCTCGGGCATTTTGGGAAGTTGGAAATTTATGAGTATGGTTCTATGGTGAATATAGGTGGTGGAGTTTGTGGCGGTGATTCGAGATTTTGAGCTTATCTTTCGAGTCGACGGTTGCGAGGTGAGTTATCATCACTATACTCAAGGGTCTAAGGCACCAAGTCCGACCTTTTTCAGATTGTTATCTTGATATGTTACATGATGTTATGATAGTTAGATCGTTATCTTGGTAGACAGGATGATATATGTTGTTATGATCCGTTAGATCAATATCCTGGTAGATGGGATGTTATATGTTGTTATGATCCGTTAGATCGGTATCCTGGTAGATAGGATGTTATATGTTGCCATGATCCGTTAGATCAGTATCCTGGTAGATAGGATCTTGTTATGTTGTTATGATCTGTTAGATCAGTTTGTTTGTCTATAGATTATTGTGTAATTATCTGTTATATGTGCACATGTTTGTTTGGCAGTTGAGGCTTATCTGCTTTGTGCGAAAGCCAATCGATGAGGGCATTCCAACTTGTTGCTTATGGGCTGTAAGTATTCCATCCCGAGGATGATTGGACTCATAGTACGTGGGAATTCCAACCTATTGGTTGTGGGCCTGGGGTATTCCATCCCGATGATGATTGGACCTGTAGTATGCCGACATTCCAACCGGATGATTGAGGGCCTGGAGTATTCCAACCCGATGGTTGACTAGACCCATAGTATGATGTTTACATTTATATGTGTATTATTGTGTGTATGGGTATTTTGGGGGAACTCACTAGGCTTCAGGCTTACAGTTTTAGTTTGTTGTTTCAAGTACATTAGTGGATGGCTGCGGGAAGACGAAGGTGTGATCGTACACTTCCTCGATTGATGATTACGAGTTCTGGAAACTCTGATATTTAAACTATTTTGAAAACAAATTGTAATGACTGAATAGTTTTAAAGGATTTAAAACATTTAAATTGGCTCGAATTTTATGGATGTTACATCTTTAATTTATATGATTGTTGCAAATTTATTATGTATTTGCTAAATGAAATTAAAATCAAATAAGAAATGACTTTTCGATATCACTTAGAGCATGTAAAAGTATGTGCTTAAAAGATTAATAGTTATTACTAAATACTGATTCCATTATCATGATCCATTATAATTGATTATTGACAACTACATAAATGATCATTGTGGTTTTTCAGATTTTTGACAACTACATAAACTTTTTTCACGGTATATATAGTCCATATGGTTTCAATTCCAAAGTTTATCTATCTATTGATTTTTATGTATTATTCTTTTCTAGCTTAAGATCGTTGAGTCTCAACTTTTATCATTTTCATCGGAGAATGAAACTCATAAATCGACTTGCCAAATCGATTTTAATTAGAATACTTATGCAAATCCATTACCTTTATACTTGATTCTAAGCCCATAAATTGACTTTATAAAAAGACGTATATTTTGTTCTACATTTGTGGTTTCTGATTTCAAGTTTGATGAGGGTACTTGTTTGATTTCAGATTTCAGGTTTGATCAAGGTTTTGATTCAAAATAATGTCATAAGTGGTGCCTACCAATCAACTCCACATTTTGATTCTTTCCCCTTCCCCTTCGTCACCCGGAACGCTACCTTGATTTAGAACTTGTGAGTCTTATGGAGAGAGAAGAGCGTGGGTGTTTTTTCATAATTTTGTTTTTTAATTAAAATTAAATTAAAAATTATATAAAGTATAATATAAAGGGTGAAAAGTCATTTTCTATGAGTCAAAACCAACCACGTTAGAAATTAAAACCACATGGATAGTCTGTGTAATGAAAAATGGATAATAAACATGCTAATCAAAATACCATGGGGACCATTTATGAATTTTTATTAATGTATCAACTGGCCCTTTATGAAGTAAAAATATAATTATAAAAGGAAGCTTGGAATAAAAGAGTGGCGGGACGATCATAAAAGCTAGTGATTTTTATATGTTGCAATCATCGTCTTTCTTTTAATATATGAATATAAGAAGTTTGTAGGAACACAACCACTGGTTATCAGTTATGCCCTTATACGTCTTTATGCACATTGTAAACGACATACTAGTAATTCTTCAAAACCCTACAAAGTTTAAGTATACATTACTTCATCTCTATTAGGGGTGTTCATGGTCCGGTTTTTTCGGTTTTTAGATCAAACCAAAGGCAAACCATTAGTAATGGTTTTTTGACAATCAAAAATTGAAACCAAACCATTGAAACTTAAAACTGAATGTAACACCCATAAAATCAAGTCAATTTAAAACTTTTTCAAACATCCAGAAGCCATTAGTTATTACAAAATGTATTCAAAATAGTTTAATATCAGAGTATCCTAGAAACCATAAGTCCAAATCACGAGGATGTGTACGGTCACGCCTTCGCCTTGCCAAGACCTCTGAATCACCTGAAACAATAAATTGAAACTGTAACCACAAAGCTTAGTGAGTTCCCCCAAAATACTCATACACACAATAATACACATATAATCACAAACAACATACTATGGGTCCAATCAACCATCGAGTTAGAATACCCCAGACCTTCAACCATCGGGTTGGAATGCCAACATACTATGAGTCCAATCATCCAACGGCATGGAATACCCCAAGCATGTTGACTGAAGCACGAAGCAACCCAGTCTTACCGTATACACTAACAAATATGCTGGGTCCAATCAACCATCAGGTTGGAATACCCTAGGCCTAATCAACCTTCGGGTCTAGTCATCCATCTGGATGGAATACCCCATGTTGGAATTCCAATATATATATATATATATATATATATATATATATATATATATATAACGGGTCCAGTCATCCTCCAGATCGAATACCCTCGGCCCACAACCATTGGGTTAGAATGCTCACATACTACGAGTCCAATCATCCTCAGGATGGAATACTCACGTCCCACAACCATTGGGTTGGAATGCCCAGGTCTATTGGCTTTCGCACAAAGTAGATAAGCCTCAACCACCAATCAAATATGTGCACATATAATAAATAATCACATAATAGTTTATAGACAGAAAAACCGATCTAACGGATCATAACAACATAATAACATCCTATCTACCAGGATAGTGATCTAACCGATCATAATAGCATAACACCATCCTATCTACCAGAATACTGATCTAACACACCATACTAGTATAACATATCAGGATAACAATCCAAAAGGGCCGACCTTGGTGCCTTCGACCCTTGAGTATAGGGAGGAAAACTCACCTCACACTGCTGAAGTCCCGCGGATAAAACTCCAGCTGCTAGTTGACAGATTCCCAAGCTGCCAACATCAGAACAACACCCAGTTAATAATTGGGTTCCAAGCCCAGGGTCCAACTCACACTCCAAAGGACTAATAGTCAGCCAATGGACCAAATCCCAACATATCTACCAGAAGTTACATTCATTTACACTAGGGATTTTACATCTCATTTAATCCCTTAAGGATTTACCCTAAGAATCATCTATCACTCATTCCTAAGGATTTATCCTAAGGAATATGCACGAAGTCACATCATCGCCAGGGTTTATACAACAGACATTAAGTCTGTAGCTTCCAGGGTTTATACAACATGTGTTAAGTCCATAGCTCTCATTTATCGACATTATTTTTCCATGGGTTTTTAGAGTACATCTGATGAACATATAGTTCGCAACACCTACAGGTTGTGAGCCTGCTAGTGTTCCACAGACCGTCTAGAATAGTCCATAGTTGTCATCCATACTATGTTAGATTACGGGGGTCAACGTTTGGGTAAGGGCTTCTCTCATATTTCATCCCCCACCCTCATCTCATGATCTATATCACCGATCATCTCATTTATCCAACTCATCTTTCATCACATACCAACTATTTCATCTGCCCATGTTTTACCCAACATTGTTTTAGATATAAAATACATATACACACTACAAGAAAAACACGATTTTGCTAGGGAAGGTTACTATGGAACGTATTTTCGTTGTTAATCTGCAGTGAATCGTACTATGGAATGTATTTCCATAGAAATGTTGCTACCACATTGTCTACGGATTTTATTTCTGGTTGCGAGAGTGGGAGTTGCTAGGGAAAATGCTACCGACTCCATATCCGTTGGTATTATGCTACCGATAGTGCTATGGAACAAAAATTCATAGCAATTTTCCAACGACATTTGTTACCAAATCACTTTCTGTTGTCCTGCTGCTATGGAATTCATTATCGTGGTTACTATGCAACGAAGTTTGTGATGGAAACCAATTCCATAGTTGAATTGCTACGGAGGTACCATTTGTAGGTATTTGCTAGGGAATTCTGCTATGGAATATGATTTTGTTTGCTTGTTTTGCTATGGAACAAAACGCGTAGCTAATTTGTGATGGCATTTGTTGGGACGTTGTATGCTTAATTAATCTTCTTATACTATGAATGAATTATTATTATGATCAATGGAATTTGTAAGATATGGTTTGAATGAAATGTTTTTGAACATTTTAATTGGTAATATGTGGCATAAACTAATGGATAAAAAATGTAAAAATGAATTATAAAGTAGATATTGTTGGCAAGCAGACTCGAACTTAAGGTTATGCTAGAAAAGGGCGCGGTTAAGCCAGTTGTGCTAATCAAGTTGTGTATAATTTCTTGAAAACATAGTATATAATGAATAATTATCAACGAATTCATTACAAAGTTATTTTTAATTACATTAACTAGGCATGTTAATATATATATAATCTATGTAGATTAATTTTCGTTAATAACGAATTCATTACAAACTTATTTTTAATTACATTAACTATACTTCATCACAAAAATAACATGGGTTTTGCGTATACTTCATCCTACTCAAACAACATAGCAAGTGAAAATGACTAAAATACCCTTTTAAAAGAACGATGTAAACACAAAACCAAAATAAAATTATAGTAGTACTATACAACTTCATATACAATATAATAAAAACACTAATATTCAATGTCCATTCTATTATCAACCATTAATATTTTTAAGAAATATACAAAACCTACCATACTCTACATACCAACGATAAACCGTGCAATATCTTGGTTGATCCTCATCCTCTTCATGGCCTATTGCCAATGCACCTTTAACAGAATGATGTGGGTCTTCATATTGGAATGTGATGTTATTCGTTTTAAGCCTATGAACAACATCAACAGCTCGTAACAACTCTTTGGCACTATCAACAACACCCGTGTACTCCCCATCATCCGGAACTGCCCAGCCAAAATTGGCATCAAGTAGCTATAAACCTACATATTAAAATATCCATCAATTAATCCAATGTATCCTTTTCAATAAAACAGTAAATAGTATACAACACAACACAACTAAATACTAATCCCAAACTACAAACATGCCTTAATTAACTATATATATAATTTAATTTACATATATACCATATATGTATACCTTCATCACATTGATGAGGCCCTCTTGAAATGTAGATCATTCCAAGCAAATAAATTGCCTCAAGATGATCTTCATCTACTGCTTGTCTCAACAAAGTCATTCCTAAATCAAAATTGCCATAATAAAAGCACTCATCCTATTGACGGAATAACAATATCAATATATAACATCAATGACACTAAATATTAATAAATGGTATAGATTACATATAATTGCTGAAACTACACATACAATTCCTTGTCTGAACATGGCTTCAATGTTATTATGCAATGCACATGTACATATAAATAAATCAGCTTTCAGATTTTTGGGACCCATTCCTTCAAACATGTCAATGCATGATGTTTTGTACACTTAAGGATCACCCCTCTTCATACATCTTCTTTGAACTTCAAAATTTTAAATGCACACTAAATAACAAACAAATAAAGTTTTATTTCATCAAATATACATTCATTAGTTGATGTTTATTGAGAATTACCAAAAGCTTGCAGAGACGATGTCTTTCGCAGATTCTGACCCTAATACTACAAATATCCGACTTAAAAGCTCTAGTGGGATATCATCTAACGAACGACGACTTCTAGTATTCGACATTCTACTTACAAAATACACATTGGAGTAGTTGATTTCAAATTTTCTTTCTAAAAATTAAGCGTAACTATGAAAGACAGTGTAACACGGTATGGAAAAAAAAACTTACTTTATGTTGATATAGTCGAGAGGAGTACAAGAGTCTCTATTATCGGAGAAAATCGTTTTTGAGAACGATTATCCTTCGACGATTTGGGGTTTTTAGTGTTTGTATGCAGCTTTATCGTCCGGAAAAGTTGAGATGTTCTAAATGGTTGAAGAACTGGAACGCCGGCATGATGTAAGAGGTATGATGGCCCCTTCACAATTTAGAGTGCAAAAAGACCAAATTGCCCCTGAAATCATTCCAAATATTTGAATACTAAGGGTATTTGTGTCAAAACACATATTCAAATATTATAGCCTTTTATAGCTAGGTAACATTGGACTTTTGATTGTTGAAATGAAAAAGACAAAAATAACACACACACACACACACACACACATATATATATATATATATATATATATATATATATATATATATATATATATATATATCATAATCTATAATGTAATACATTTATATTAACATTTCACTAAATTACTAGTATATATTTATGTAGTAATATACATTTTAAAAGTGGAAGAAGATTTTAACAGTAAACTTATTTACTTTAGATTTTAGATACAATAGTTTTCTTTTGTTGCCACTTTTAGTCCCTATGTTTGTAGTAAGTGTTTTTACTTTGGTTTTAGCCACAATACTTTTTATTTGTTGCCACTTTTAGTCCCTATTTTTATTCCTTTACAATTTTACCCTATGCAAAGCATGGGTTCTCCAGTAGTTGATATTAAACTAAATTACCAAGTCCAAAATAAAATACAATTGTTTATGCCTTTACTTTTTAGTCCCTTATTAACAACACAACATATTTACTAATCAAGTAACAACATAAAATAATTACTTATCAAGTAAATTACTATACATTAGTATATTAAACCAAAAGAATCTACAAAGCATTTATTTTCATAATATGAAAATACATATCAACAAACTACTCATAAATTATACCAAACTCCCTAGAAAACCTAACAAAACAAGTATCCCATAAATAAATTTCACACATAAACACCCATTTGTATCCATTCATAAAAGCATCTGACACTCTAACTACAGACTTATGCAATGAACAAGATCTATGGAAGCCATGGAAGTGCACATGTTTCCTCCCCTCCCTATTTAAGTGGAGATAAACCTTAGAACAAGTTGCTCTAAGATTCCACTTACCATTTGCTTTGCGGTAAACATTTTTCAACATGTCCAAAGCTTCCTGCTTCCTATGTCTCCCTTCAGCCATCAACATCATTCCCAGGACAAATGTTGAATCCATATGTCCCAACGCAGATGCTTCTTCAAGCATCGTTTTCCCTTCATGTTCAGCTTCCCAGGACAAATGTTGAATCCATATGTCCGAATCCATTTCTAGTTAAAGTTATGCAAAACAAGTAATAGATTAATTACTACTATGCATATATATATATATATATATATATATATATATATATATATATATATATATATATATATATATAACAACATACCAATCCATTCCTGAATAGAATATTTGGGTTTCTCATCTCTATGCATTTATTGCCAACTGCATGTTTCTAGTCAGACCAAACATGAAATCGTAATCCATCTAACTCCATATGTTTGTATACTTCATCCGTTTTTCCTGCCTCATTGAAGAATCTGCAACTGCAAGCGGAACGCAATATTCGTTCCATAATGTAAAGACAAATCAAATACACTTGTGAAATAGAATGATCAAAGGCAAAACTTACACACTCTTCATCCTGAAACTCGACTATTGAAAATTTTGCCAAGTCGACTATTATTTTCTGTATCACTTCAAATGACATGTTTGTAAGCGATTTTGTTTGATTTCTTGATTGATTATTAGAAGAAGTACTTTCTTCCATAATAATAAACAGTCACTAAGATAACGATTCTGCAAAAATAATTTTAGGGTTTTTTGACTGTCGAAATTTTGAAATTGGGTTTGTTTGCAAGTAACTGAAATAAGAGTGAAGAACTGAAACAACATGTTTCGTCGAAAAACATTATGGCGCCTAGAAGAACTTCCATTATAAAATGACTAAATTGTCCTAATACATACAATAACTCGTATTTAATTAGTAAGGGTAGTTTTGTTAAAAGTCATATTTAAAAGAAAAATCAATTTCTATTTTAATCAAGGTTGTATAAATCGCTCGTCCGTCGCTCGAAGTTCGATTGGTGATAAGTGATTAATCAAACTCAGCGGGGGTTAATTGGGGACCCTAAATTATTAATAAAATTATTTAAAAAAATAATATTTCCTACAAAATGAAGTATTTGAAAATTGTAAATTTTAATACATAACTGGCACAAATGATATATGTTGACCAATGATCCGTATTTCATCCTTGGGTGATACCATCACACCATAAGCAACTACCATGTCGACCAATGAGCCATATGTCATCCATGGACACCATAATTGACTACCAGGTTGACCAATGACCCGTATTTCATCCATGGACACCATAAGCAACTACCATATTGACCAATGGCCAATATTTCATCCATATATCATCCATGGACATCATAATCAACTACCATGTTGACCAATGACCCGTAATTCATCCATGGACACCATAAGCAACTACCATATTGACCAATAGCTCATATGTCATCCATGGACATCATAATCAACTACCATGTTGACTAATGACTTGTATTTCATCCATGGACACCATAAGCAACTACCATATTTACTAATGGCCCATATGTCATCCATGGACATCACAGTCAACTACCATGTTGATCAATGACCCGTATTTCATCCATAGACACCATAAGCAACTACCATATTGACCAATGGGCCATATGTCATCCATGGACATCATAATCAACTACCATGTTGACCAATGACCCGTATTTCATCCATGGACACCATAAGCAACTACCATATTGACCAATGGCCCATATGTCATCCATGCACATTATAATCAACTACCATGTTGACTAATGACTCGTATTTCATCCATGGACACCATAAGCAACTACCATACTGACGAATGGCTCATATGACCATGTTGACCAATGACCATGGACACCATAAGCAACTACCATATTGACCAATGGGCCATATGTCATCCATGGACATCATAATCAACTACCATGTTGACCAATGACCCATATTTCAACCATGGACACCATAAGCCACTACCATGTAGACCAATGGCCCATATGTCATCCATGGACACCATAAACGACTACCATGTTGACCTGTCATCCATATGTCAACCATGGACACCATAAGCCATTACCATGTGGACCAATCAACCATATGTCATCCATGGACACAATAAGCCACTACCATGTCGACCAATGGCCTATTTGTCATCCATATGTCATCCATGGACACCATAATAACTACCATGTTGACCAATGATCCGTCTTTCTTCCATGGACATCATAAAGCACTATCATATATATTGACATGACCCGTATGTCTTTTGTATATAAATGTCGGTTTAAACAGAAAACCATAAAGATGTATACTTTATTAATGTTTAGTCCTCGTATATAATTTTAAGTTAAAATTATACTATGAACACATCGTTACTCTATGTTCTTTCCTGAGGTTATTTATATGTATATACCCTATTTATCAATCTGTAACTACTTTAAATAAATTCGAATTACTAAATATTTAGCGTTAATTAGTACAGTTCGAATTTTTTATTGGCGGAGGTTCAAAGTATTTCATAATTCGTTTCCCTCCAACCTACACAGGTTTATGTTGCATATTAGGGTAATTAAGTTTACCGATTAGAAATAGGTTTTACATTTTTTGTAATCATCATCTCTGGCGACTTATTGATCGAAATCTTTGTTCATTATACGTTTGTGCACTGACTTTGGCGATATAGGTTGTCACTCTTCTAAAATTTATATTTATTTAATTTACTGTTGTCGCGATGGTCGGTCTTTTTTTGTTTTCTGATCATCTTCATGTAAATTGGTTTTGATTGTATTCAATAGTTTGCATGCAAAGTAATGTCTTTATATATAATTTATTTTTATTGTTTGTTTCAGAAAGATGTCGACCCCGAAACCAAAAGGAGCATCCGGTATGAAGCCAACTAAATTCATTGTACCACAAGTGATGAAACGCAACAGGATTTCTACTGCAAAATTCCTAAACAGACTGTTACAAGATGAAGAAATCGAGTTGACAATACCAACAACCACATCCAAAGCACCTATAACATATACCAACAAAACCCCTAAACCTATATCATTAACATCACCCATGACTAGTACTTCCTCGGCATCTCTTAAAACATCCACACCCTCCTTAGAAAAAACATTTAAAACTTCAGAAATTGGAACAATACAATCGTCAACACGAACATCAATAAAGAAAACTTCAAATCCTACATCATGTAAACCATCCTCAACAACAACACCCACTACCATATCATCAACACCTATATCTACTACCACAACCTCAAAACCTGCATCTACACTACCATCCTCCACAACTACAATAACTACCATACCCTCCTTACGTAAAGAAACTACCACATCCTTAACATATACATCTATCCCAACACCTACTCCAGAATATACCCCATCAACAACACCTATCCCAGAATCTACCCCATCACCAACACAACCACCCATGAATGGATCTATAGTGGAAAATGTAGAAGGCGAAAACAATTCCTCTGAAGATTGTGGACCAGATGGATGTTTTAATGTTCATGTTTGGAAAAATATGTGAGTTACCAATTCAAATCTTAAGTACAACTTTTTTTATGTATTAAATTTTGGTTTGCACCTACATATCAATTCAAAACTTAACACATCACATGATTACTTGCAGCCTAATGCCACCAAGCCCTTGTGCATACGTTATTAGTCAGTCCTTTAAACAAAGAGTAGATCCATAAGGGTATGCTTGGGGACAAGTAAGCAAATAAATGCGCGAATTATATTGGGAAGAGTTTCAGGTAACTATAAGTAATAAATTGTTGTTTGGTAAGCATTTATACTTCAACTTATGTTTATATTGTTAATGTGTAGAAACAATATTGTTGGGATGAGACAATAGACTCGCTGGTGAGGCAAGCTTGGGCAAGGAAAGCGGCACAAAGTTATGGTCAATATCTCTTCAACATGAGGAGCCCAAAAAGAAACAAACATGGCTTTAAACCAACTCATATTCCACAGGAAGTTTGGAACTCCTGGCAATTAAAATGGAATATAGAAGAATACAAGCTAAAATATGAGCAGAATAAGAAAAATAGGCGTAATGTGTGGCTGATGGAGTAGCAAAACCTACACATAACGTTGTATCCGCATGTCATTTGAAGATAGCTTCTAATTTGGTAATTTTTTAAATGGTACATCATATCAATGTTTGCATATGTTTATCTGTATATTTGACTTTTTATATGGCATTTATGCAAAAGAGGAAATTAGGACATGAGCCACCCCATAGTGAATTGTTCATGTATACACACACTAAGAATCATAATGGACTCACTTTCACAAACGAAAAAGATAGACAAATTCATGTAATATTCATTTCAGTTTAAATTATCTTTTATATTGTAGCTACTCTATAATATCATTCCTAAATTTGATATCTTTTAACTTATAATATTTTTATTTTGTAGGCGGGCTGTACAAAAAAACGGGAAGAGTTGGAAGCTGAAGGTGTTGAATTTGAGGAGGACAAGCTACTCTATGTTGTCGTAGGTGGTCATGATAAAAAAAGAAGACTTTATGGATTAGACTCGTTTGCAAAGGTGGTGCCCAACAGGAATGGTAAAACGTATGTAACTTACATTCCGCAAAAAAATGATGAAATAGAAGAAATGAGGGAGCTTGTTGCTAAACAACAACAGCAAAACGAAGAACTTAAAGAAATGATGAATGCCCAACAAGAGAAAAACAAAGCAAGGGTCGGACATCTTGAAAAACAACTTCAAAGAACATTGGATCTTATTAATGGCATTACAAAACAACAAGAGTAGTAGGTTGATATATGTTTATTGAAGCTTATGTATTTTAGAGTTGCAACTTTCTTTTTTCAATGTAATAAATAATTATTTTGTTATTTTATGATATGATGGTTATGATTTTTTTGTTTTTCATATATTACTACAAAATTATTTGGATATAATTTATAAATCAATTATCTATCGGTCCATATTGAATCTGCTATATAATATATATACCACTAATATTGCTAGGTATTCATGACCACGGAATTTCCTAGGAAGTGATCAAACGGAATTTGTTAGGTATTCATGACCACGGAATTTGCTAGGAGATCATCAAACGGAATTTGATAGGGATTAAGAACCACAGAATTTGCTACGAAATCACCACCAGAATGTACTAGGGAATAACCACCAT